GCTTCCTAATGTAGAGTAATTTTGAGTTCAAATCAATGTGGAACTTCCCAAACACTGCAGTCAAGCCTTAATGCACTAAATTATTTAAAAATACATTCATTTTATTTTTAATGCATTGGAGCTTAGTTCTTGTGATGGAATTAATTTGTATGTAAAGAAGGATAAGTACCTTACCTCATTCTGTAACACCTAATAAATATAGGTAAATACTTGCTCTTTTCAAAAAAAAAAATGGTCATTTATATGAAGTTTTGAAATACCAAAAAAAAAAAAATGGGGAAGTGGATGATGTATAAAAGAAAAAATAGGAAAGATGCACAATTTTTAACAGATTTTTATATAAATAAAAGTATCTGAAGCAGAAATTTTGTGAAAGATACATAAATACATACATGTTGACACACTAGAATTCAAATTACTTAAAATCAATTTTTAACATTCTATAATGGAATCATAAAAATAAGGAAAATTATTGGGAATTCATAAGACACTTCATTTTAACTGATGTACAAGATACTGAACTTTTTGTTGTTTTGTGTCCAAAGTACAATATTTGGTATATTTCTATAATATATCAAGTACAAAAGAAGAACAGGCAGAATATGCTCAAATATGCAGTGAATTATTCACTCAGTAAATATTTACTGAGCAGTCAGTGTGCACCAGGAACTCTTGTACACAGGGAATATAGCAGTGAGAAAACTGTATTTGTCGTTCATGAGATACGTTGTCACATACTGTGCAGACACATATAATAAAAACACTAAGCTAAATATGCTAATCCTCAGGTCTCAGAATGGGCAAAACTTGTTCAAGAACATTTTTTTTTAATTAGTGATACAAATTATATTGCCATGTGATTGATAGAATATCTTTCTAGAAAAGAACTTCAATATTAATGTTCCCATTTAAATCCAATTCCATATTCCCCAAATACTCACTTACATCTTGTACCTGTAGGAAAGAACGAAAAGCCTATTGTCTCGAATATTCTTCACATAATAGTGTCTAACACGGTACAGGCTCATCTATTTCCTCTAAACTAATCATCTGAGGCAAACCACAAAAAACTCAAATAAAGTATTTTATGATGTAACCTCTAACCCTACTATAATGGGAAAATGTATTTTCACTCCATGGGCAATATATCTTCTTATAATTTTCTTTAGTCCCTAACCTAGACACCAACTTTTCAAATTTGCTTTTCCATAATCACTTACCTAAGTAGATTCTATGAAAGAAATATTTAAAAATGTATTTGGTTCATAGGTTTTCTGTGTTCATATTTATCCCCTTTTTAAACTACAGTTTTATTTGCCTTCTGTTTGTATGTATTATATCTAGTTTAAGATTATTTTCTATAATATGGCATAGAAACTAAGGTATATTTCTGTATGATTGTGAATATTTCTATAATAGTTAACACTATATACCACCCTTAGCTAGATTCTTTACTTTGAGGAAGCATTTTAGATGCTATATTACCCTCACACTTATTTTCTAAACAATTGGAACTCATTTATTATAAAACTTTATTGAAAACTATAACATTGTTTCCAAATAAATCAGCTGGAAACCTTAAAAAAAAATCCAGTTTCTTATGATCCACATACACTTTCAGATATAATTTGCGTAAAAAGTTGTTTTATTCATTTGATACCTAAAGTTTTACCTTTAGTGTGAAAAGTTTATCACAAGCTATATATATTTATATTATTTTAATTATTTTAATAAGTATTTTGAAACTGGTTTTGTTATTTACAATAAGTGGCTCTTGTGTCTTTATAGATGCAAACCCTACACATGTCTCCCATATGTATTATATATTCAAATTTCATGAAAGAGTATTCTTTTCAATTATGTTTTCAGTTGAAAATCTGTTAATGACTTTTGCAAGATTCCATTTAATGAGCCATGTTAGTCTTCTTGATGATTTTTTTTTTTCTTACCATAGTGCTTACTAAGTGCCTAGCCAGTACCCTGGAAGTGGTAAGCCCATAGAAACATTGTTTAATATACAGCGTTGGTGTTGCAAAAGATGAGTGCAGTCTGAAATTTGTACTTCAGAGTACAGCAATTCTATTCTGCATACACAATCAAACTAAAATTTCTAAAAATTTTCTAATAAGTCAAATCTTCAAAGATTTTCAGTAGTTAAAATTAATATAATAGACATGAAAGAAGAGGGTTTTTAATTTTATTACCATATAATAATTGTACAATATAATGGGTTTCATTATGGTATATTCATGAATGTATAGCATGTCCTTGCTTTCATCATATTTACTCCTCCATTACCTTCTCTAGTCCCCTCTGCCCCCTCCCCCGCCCCCTGGTCATCGTCCCCTTTCCAAACAGTCCCCTTCTGTTTTCCAGTCTTTTATGATTCTTAATCTAGATTCAGCATATGAAGGAAAACATGCACTATTTCTCTTTCTGAGTCTGTTAAGAGTTTGCATTTACCAGATTATTTACAATTGTCCACATTGTGACTTTTCACATAAAAGTTACAACTGTATTTGGAAAAGTCTCCTAGGATCAATTATAATTAATATTATTTGTAGATGCATTTAACTTTTGGAAAGTGGGGTGGTTTGGAAAGTGATTCTCAAATTTAAATCTATGTTATCTAAATTTAAAGTGTTTCTAAAGACCAAGATCTAGTATTTTCTCAAAGAGTTTGCTTTACCTAACCTTGCATTTGGCTTCAGAGCTGTTTCTTTTGGTATAAAATTAATACTAATAAAAACGTAATACACTTATATTTTCACATTTTAGGAGATTAAACCACCACATAATTTCCAATAGGAAAACAGTATCTCTAGAACGCCTTTAAAACTTGTGGGTGTTACATAACCCTAAACATTCAAAGTGGTGCTTTTTCCTGTGATCAACAACACTTAACACTGACTTTTCAGGGTGTCATCAATATAATGTAGAGCCCATTTTCCATTTTTTTAAAACTGGCATTGAAGATTTCCATCTCTGGTATAATTAAAGTGTAATTAAAGTGACATATTCTGCTGTCTGTTGATAGGACACAATAAGATTATGTTAAGTGAAAGATTCCCAACATGCAAAGAGGAAAATCAGTTTTGGAAATGGAAGAGTCCTTAGAAGAAATGAAACATATCTGGGACTGAAAAAAAAAAGAAAGGAAAGAGAAGAAAAGAACAAATTAAGCTGAATTGCTAAATAGTATTTGGACTAAAGAAGGTCACTTTTTAAGATTTAAATGTTTTCCTCTGTGAAAGGGGCCACTGCTTCCCAAATCCAGAAACAAGCCTACGAATATGTTAATTAAGTGCATTGTGTCCCTGAAAGAATGAGTTTGACAAATTCATTTTTATTCTTTCAATTAATAAAGTGTTTGTCTAGCCATCTAAGATTTTTTAAATCTATAATGTGTATATTTGCCATTGTACAGTAACAGTGCCAAGGACCCACATGACCCCATAGGGTGAATCTTATGAAGCTTAACATTCCTGTCGAATTAAACACACAAGCCTCAGATTTTTTGTCAGTCTTACCTTCCTGTGGAACTGAGAGCCAGAATGTAGGTAATTTTTATACGGTGGCACTTTAGCCCAATTAAAAAAGCAATCATCTTTGGCACAAGCAGAGGGGGCAAATATAATGACATAATATTAAAGAAAGCTTTCACAAAGACTGACCAGGAATGCTACTCCCTCTCTGTCCCCACCCCCACTCTGACTTTTTTTTCCTGCCCATTTGTTGTTTTTCTCACAAGTGTATCCTGACTTTTCATTTTTTCTTTTATTTTAAATGAAACAAAAAAACATCTCAGATAGTAAAAGACGTAAAGAAGATTCATCTTCTGCTATCAACTACATAACAGATAAACTTGCAAAGCTATTCTAAATATTCAAAGGCTTATAAATAAAAAATGTAAATTGAGCAGGGGATGAGTGTGAAACTGAATGAACAGATTGAAAATACTTAATTTTCAACCTCGATTTTTCGCCTATTCCAACCTTCCCATAGTTATGCTTTAAATGGCTTCTCACATAAAATTTTTCCCTGTGCTTCGAAATAAGTGAATGATTTCCAGGAGGAAATGGAGCTTTAGAAAGAAGACCTGCAAAATGAAAGTGTTCAAATGCAAACTACTTCTCTAGCATTTCAAATGCAAAATCACAACCTTCACCACCTTTAACTGACTCTTAAGGGGTCTTTTCAAACATGCTATTTACGACATCATCTGTTAACTTCATTTTCTAATTCAAAACTCTTGCCAAATGATGTTTTCATGATGACGTGTAAATATAATATTCCATTAGAGATCAATTCTAATTGGTTTTTTAAAATCCACCTTGGGAAAAAGTGCAGCATAATACACAGACTCGTAATGAGTATTTTAGAAGGAATTTCCACAAAGTCTATTATAATTCCTAAATCCAAATTACTCTTTTTCCTAGTAAGCTTTGGGCCACAGGACTGAAATTATTTCTTCACGAGTTCTCACGCAGGAGGACTTTTGTCTACAAGACCAGGATCACTTGTTGGAAATCTTCATTTTTTAAAAACTGACGTTTACCAAAAATATTTTTCCCACATGACTCACAAAGGAAAACAGTTTCTTAGGATGGGTTGCAATTTATTTTGTTTCCAAACCGTGGTTTAAAGTCATAATGGACGTTTTTCCCCTTTGAAATTCCCTGTTATTTTGGAAACGCGTTTCACCTTTACAAACCAAGCCCCTTTTTGTTAGAGCCCTTCCTTTTAAAACCAGACTTCTTGTACATGACAAAGAGCTGAGTAGCAACAAATGAGGACAAAAAAAAAGTGCTTTTCCTAACTCCTTTGAACCCTAACTCTCACTTTCGAATCCATACATTTAAAGACATTTTAAATATTATATAAAATCTGCTCTAATTTCCCATGGGGGGGTGGCCCACATCGTCGCTTATCTAGTGATGACTTTATAAACATCTCTGCAGCCGCTTTCTTTCCCTGGTAACGTGGGAGCTGGCCTGAAGTCTTGCCGTGCAGCAGCTGCACGTTGTGAAAGCGCCTTTCGACGAGGTCTGCGGCCGGGAAAGCCCCTGGCGGGCCACGGAGGGTCATAAAAGCGGCCGGGCCGAGCCGGGGCAGCCCTGTGGACTTCCGCGATCCGCAGGCTGCAGAGGACGAGGCGCAAATCCCTCCCCCGGGGAAAAGGCGTCGCAGGGCTTCGGCGCTGGGGCCGAACAATGGGAGCGCCCTGGAGCCCGGCGGCTCCCGCTTCCTCCGCCTCGGCCCCCGGGTTTTCCCGCTCGCCAGCCCCGGCTCTGGCCTCCCGACCCCGGCCACCTCCCTAGCCCGGCCCTTCCCCCCATGCCACATGAGTTGCTTCCTCTGGTGACCCCAGCTTTAGCCGTGGCCTCCTTCCTCCTATTCTCTGCACGTATTTTTTACTCTCTCCCTCGGTTTCCAGAAGTGGTCTTGAAGTCTCATTGCCAGAGTCATGCTGAGTTGCTGTTTCCTTCCGGAAAAAAGATTTCCTCCAGAAATCCCAATCGGGAAGGAAATACAGGCAATCCAACATACCCTTTATTTAACCCTAACTACCTTCTCCCGTGTTAAGGGGAGAATAAAATTGGAGGCACGTAGTCTTTAAGAAACCTGCAATGAACTAATTCCTCTTTAATTTCCTCCTTCCACTACAGTTGTTTTGGAACTCTGCAGCGAGTGCCTCCCGAAGAGAGGATGTGCCCAGCCGCACGCAGCCAAGCGGGGGTCTTAGCTTGCGCCTCCTGGGACTAAGGGAGAAAGTAACGAGGACCGGGGAAGCTACCGAGGCCGAGAGCAGCCGGCCCGGCGGGGCCCGCGGGCTCCCGGCCGCCCGAGCCGGGCCGCCAGGGGCGAAGGACTTAAATAGCGGGGGGCCGGAGGGGGCGGCGGGCCCGCGCGTGACGATACTTTCCGAGGAAGGCTGGGGCAGACGGGGAGTTTGCAGATCGGCCTCACCCTCCCGTTCCTCCACCCCCCCCACCCCACCCCCAAGAGGGAAGGGAAAGAGAAAAAAAAAAAAAAGTTGAAGGGAGGCGGGGAGAGGAGCCACCCCGTTTCCTCCCCCGGAGTCTGCGGAAGGGCTGGGGCGGCGCGGGCAGAGAGAGGGCGCGGACCGAGCGGACCAATGGCAGGCAACAGGTCCAGGCCTCGGCAGGGCCGCGGGCCGGGCCTCCTCTCGCCGCCGCCCGGGG